TATTCGGCACACCGTTGCCAGCCCAATCCGTGAAGTGGAACTGGGTGACGGTCCACGGCTAGAGGGTTGAAACGGAATAACTCACGTAACCAAGCAACACATCACTTAGTGTGGCTCGTGAGAAAGCACCACCTACCGACGCCTCGCTCGAGGGATGCATTTTCAACTCACGACGTATGACGCTACCGAGGTTCTCTTCACTCTCCTTCCTCACTTCCACACTGCAGTTCTTCGATTTGAATGTCGACATCATTCCCTCGGGCCAGTACTGTGTACACTTTATTTTGCCACCCTCAATGCATCTGCATGGATTAAAATAAAGATCATTAAACAGTTTGATCGAGTGTCTTGTTTGGCGAGTACTGAATAGTGGTACAAAATGCAGGCGCTTCTGCATATAAAATCATTTCGACGCTTAGATTAGTGGATGAAGGCGGTTCTGTGCTCCATGCAAGAGATTGGCAGATGTATAACACAGAACACAGTCGAAAAGTGCCAAGTCACTTGAACAGTGCACGCTATTCTTAGCTTTGCTAAGTTTAATAAATTACCGAGCCTCGTGGCAATGAGGAATTTACTAAATGGGTGGAGGTGGTGACGTGTGTCGCGGGCTCTTGCTGAATTAACTCTCATGCCCACTGACGCCTCTTTTGCATGGAATGGCAAGAGAAGTACTGAATGAGATGGTTCATTATCAGTCCTTTTAATTTCTCTGATATCATTAAATGGGAGCGGCAAAAGCCAATTTATGGCTGGTTGTACGTGAAGAACTTCGTAGATCAAGCAATTACTACGCAGTTTCACCCACCTCCTTTCCTTTTTTAATGTAGCAAAGATATATTAGCAAGAACTTGCAGAGAAACCTCTACAGTGAGGAGAAGTGGAAGATAGAAAAGGGACCTAGGGATATATACTGTTCTTTAGCAATTCACAGTGAGGAAGTAAGAATTTAAATCACTTATTTGTCATGAAGCTGAAGTCAAAACGAATGCACAGAAAGGAGTAGCACCGCCTTTTCTATAGGTCAACAGCCAATTTCAGTCGTTGCGTCTGACATGATTGTCATCACATTCATGTTCAAAGGATGGAAAATTGAGAAAAAATCTACGCAGTACTGATGAGTCAGATCAAGAAACTGGATAAGGAAGAAAGATGGGGAGGGATAAAATGAGTCTGCAGAGAACTGTGATGAGGACAGAGCTGTGGAACGAACGGCAACGTTGTCATATCGTCAGAGATCTTAGATTTCGGCGACTGCCACTGACGTCGCCAGTGCCGTGGATGGTGATTAATTAGTTCTACCAAAAAATGACCAGATTTTGCAGACAGATGCAAAAAAGTGCACTGGCGGGGATCAGAATCACAAAAAAGCAAAGTCGAGGGACTGGCGGTTACTGAACTTACTGACAGAGCATGATGATGAGACGACAGCGCTGTTGGCACACCATAGTGAGGAAGTCGGC